AGGCTACGCTGAGTCTATAGCGATCACAGCGGTTGAAATCATTTGAATTCTTCTCAATTTCAACTGATTATTTAACTAATATTGGCCAGTAATAATTCGTTCTGCATAACACTTCAACGTTATCAAAATCAATTGAATGTCCTTGTTGGCAAGCATGCTCTGCCACTGCTGACAGCTGTGTTTGGGATAATTTAATGTTCCTTTGGTGTTCTAACCCCAAAAACACTTTATTATGAATAATACTGGTCGCGAAAGCCTACGTGTTAAATTGAGTATTTGCCACCTCTATCAGGAACGTTGAGATTAGAATTGTGTTTGCAATTTAATGTTCCTTTGGTGTTCTAACCCCAAAAAAACGTTTATTATGAATAATACTGGTCGCGAAAGCCTACGTGTTAAATTGAGTATTTGCCACCTCTATCAGGAACGTTGAGATTAGAATTGTGTTTGCAGACCTTTCCTCAGTGATAAAGTGAGTAAACACTCACTGATACGACAGCAGCGATGCACGCGGCTTCATCATCTGGAATAGACTTTATCAACAAGTTTTTGTTAGAGCTGGAGTAGACCATAGGCCCTCTGCCAAAACCTTCTAGTACATCATAAAATGGTTGAGCATGCATACAGCTAACGTACAGCTCTCTGATGTGTTATCAGGATGTGACACGTGTTGTTCGGCATGACGTCCGACTTTTCATCCCACGTGCTGTGTGCTTGTGCAGTAACTTAATCATCACAACCACTAAAAATAATTTGCCTCCAGAAGCGCCCAGCACGTAGTTTTAAACGTCAGACATCATGCTGTACAGCACGCAGTACAACCTGACAACACAGAGCTGTCCAGCACAACCTCTAAAACCTAGACAGTAATAGAGCAAATTAATGCACTTTCTCGAGTACAAACAGATAATGGTATCAATAAGCGTTGCTCGTGTAACGCATACCTGCGGAGGGAGCTGGTAGGAACGTTGGGTTGCTCGGTCAATGGCCAGGGTCAATGGCGGCGTGGTGTATTCCGCAAATATGCCCGACTGTGAGGGCGGGCACAAGCCGGCGTGAGTAGGTTAAACGTTGAGTTTTATAAGGGCACTACGGGGTGACCAGCCCCTCCCCACCCAGCCCCACGCCTCCCAACCCCCACCCAGCCCCACCCTCCCCACCCAGCCCCTCCCCACCCTCCCCTCCCCACCCAACCCCTCCCCACCCTCCCCTCTCCACCCAGCCCCTCCCCACCCTCCCCTCCCCATCCAACCCCTCCCCACCCTCCCCTCTCCACCCAGCCCCACCCCTCCCATTTTTGGATTCACGACGGACGGACGGACACAATAATCCCCTGTGGGCTGGTGGAACCAGGTGGTTCCTACCAGTATTAATGTGGCATGTAGGCTTTACAGGTGTCTTGTGATGTATGCACGCAATACAACATCTCTGAAATCGAGTCCAGGGCAAGCGCCATGAAAAATTGAGCAATGGTAACATACGCTCCTCGGTTGTGCGTCCATGAGAACAGAGTGTCAGTACAAATAGTACCACTCATTAACTATGTATGAACATGTTCATGGAATGACAAAAGCATTGGGATTACCAGCAGCAAAAACACACTCTTTGCAACATAGATGATGAGAGTCCATACATTCTGCAGGTGAACTGTTAGTACAGCTAATATTCAGAGTTATGGGTGTCCCTTTGTAAAATCTTGCCGTGTCGTGTGTACACACATCATTACTCTATTCTCTGCATACTATGATGCTCCTACAATTTAAGTTACCTGCCAAATTTCGTGGTCATTTTGAAGAAAATCTATGGGTTTTTTCGAGAAAATATGCCATATATTGATGTACAATATATATGAATGTAATGTTGGGTGAATGCTCATAAAAAATATGAAAAAATACGGAGCATATGGCAATTAAATGACAATACAACCTATGATCAATCTCATATTGGTTTATGTGCTATGAAGAATAGATATTGCCCAAAATGTAACCAATTATATATTTTATTCTTTTAAGGCAGTGTTGTTGACACCACTTCACATGCAGCATCAACAAACAATTAGTTTAATGTCAGATGGACTGGCAATCAGACTAATAGAGTACAATATAGTACATACAAAGGCAATGTAAAATGTCAGTTTCAGCATAAGGAGAGACATGCTACATATGAAAACTAAATAGAATTTTCAGATAACCACTGAAACTGGTCATGTCGCCATTGAGAAGTGGTCACCTTGCAGTGAACTGAGCACGATGATAACATGAAGCACTACACTGGTAATAAAAAAAATTCTGGCCTGGACTTTTGCAGCTGTTATATGAAGCCCCTGAACCCCAACACCTAGGGATTAGTAAAATTACAATAACGTGAATCTATTTATGAATTCAGGAGAACATTACTGAGTCTCAAGACTGATTACACTGGTCAACAAAAAAAATACATTTTTTTCTGGCCTGGACTTTTGCAGCTATTTTAGACTAATTTCAGGGTGCTGATTCCAAATCTGATCTCAGATTTGCTCTATCTCATCTCATTTTTATGCTATCGGCATACCCCATTTTCATTGATTTACCCGAAATTAACTCTGTCACTTATGATTGCAAGTTGTTGCGAGTCAGTGACTGCTTTAGTGTTAAAATATGGTGCTGTATTTTTAGGATAGTGTGTTTATAATATAATTTTATGTAGATATCCACATTTATTTAATATTTTTATTCCGCCGTTTTTATTGAAAATGCAATATTTGATATCTCAAAAACCTGATGTGATAGACAAAAACTGATGCCAGATTTGGAATCAGCACCCCAAAATTACCTTAAAACTGTTGGAATACCTTATGCCAGAAAAAGTGTGTTGACCAGTGCTATGTTAACAAATATCACAAGCACTCAGATCCAGAGAGCATAGATAAATAAATATGTTCTACTGTGCAGATGCGTTTTTGAACGATTAGAAATACACTAGGCATCAGCGCATATCCGACCGTTACATAACCACCATTGCAATTAACCGCTCACATGTAGTGGCAAAAATACTGCATGGAGTGACTTTGATTTTCTCTAGAGGTTCACAAATCTGACCTTGTCACATTTAGCAATCTTATTAATCCTGCTACACATTCCCTTCTAAAGTACAGAAACGCATTTTCCTGTGTTGAATGTTGTTCGCAATTTATTTTTGTCCAGTAACCTATTTGAGCATGATGCAAGCAATTTGACTCAGATTTTTACATATGGATGTTTTCACTTGTCAGCCTAAACCTTTAGTTCCAAGCTTGTCAGTCAATTTTTTTTCTACAAAGGTATATATTGAGGTTAAAAGGGAGTTCAGGAGAGGGTGTGATACAAAAACAAACCAAATGAACATAGGCAAATTAATTTTCTTGCAATCCTACAATGCTGGCATTTAATGCAACATCGCTTTAACTCCGTAAAGACAACCTCATCATTGTATGTAAGATGTCAATCACATTGGCATAGCATGTCGAAACACAGTTATGAAAATAACCCTAAATATAAGAGAATTCAATGAGGGACCCTAATTGTTGCAAGTTGGTGAGATACAAGTTTTCCTTCTAATTTAAGTCCTATCTGCCACTTTTTTTTTGGATGAGCGCATTATTAAATTCCTCTCCATGCCACACAATGCCCGTCTTTGTTGCAATTTGTGGTTGCGGGCAGTCATCCATGTCCTGCAGAGCTCTGAAGCAAAGCGATCTCCGCGAAGCGCGGAGCGAACACACTGCCTGTTATTCTAAATTCCAGATGCCAAAAAAAGAAAAAGCCAAACCGTGACTCTTATCCCATTAGGAGTTCTCATTTCTTACAAATTGACAAAAATCACCGTGCGGCTAATTGCTTGGGCCTTCCGCATTTGTCCCCAAGGCGAAAAAAAAAATGCCGTCGAGTTTGCACAGCGATAAGTACGAGAGAGCGTGCATGCCAACTGCACTCAGTGTGTATACGTTTCAATAGCCACATTATGCACGCCCGTACATTCAATACGACGTTGGCGAGTGACTACGTCGGTCGCGTGCAATGAATGGTGGGTGTGAATGCGTTTCATTTGATTTATTTCAAGAAAAGGGCACTTTCAAAAATAAAATACCGACGTCAACCCGACCGCACGTGTCTGTGTTGTGCATTGCCGTGTCGCTTTGTGGCAGCCCCGGAGGCTTAGCCCCTTCACTGGAGCTTCCTGCGGTTTGAGACCGAATAGTTCAAATGAGGCTCAGGCAGGAAATGATTGCAACTGCTTCCCATTGGAAAACAGCAGAGCCCAGAGCTCCCAGATGTGGCATTGGCATTTGGTTCGGTATCAAGGCTGAGATTGACTGAGCTCCGGGGGCAGTGAGGAGATTGCCAGCCTGGAGGCATCGCTTTTGAAACACGTTTTAAAGATTCAGGTTGAGATGATGAAGCGAGCACCTCACCCTCGACCTATCGTTATACCTCTGCTGAACCGGGCAAAAGCGTCATGCAGAGTCGTTTAGTTATTTAATGGCTTGGAGTAGAAGTCTTGGAATGTAACGGCACACAATTTGCGATTGATTATTAATGAGGCTTTGCCTGTATACCTGAGCCACACACAAAAAAACATCTACTGTACTGGGCCTCTAATTGCATTGTTCTTGAGTAAGAGGCATCACCTGGAGAAGTGCAGAATAACAGTAATTGTACCAATTAAGACTATGGAATGGTGCTGCAGTATATTCATACACTGTAGGCATAACACTGGTATATTGTATTAAATACAAAGGCATACATTTTGTTTAATTATCAATTCATAAAGGAAACAACTTTTACTATATTTAAAATATAAAACCCAACAGTAACAGTGGAATGGGATATAATCTACCGAATATTAGAGGTTTTTAACACGGGCAAAATGATTCATGTTCACGTATAGTCAAAATGAAATAACTGTAAGACCGTGTAACATGTTTTGCAGTCACAACGGGGGAGCTAAAGGTTGCTTAAATTATTAATGTTTTTCATTTTCAGATGGTTTCCAGCGGAGAAACTTTGCAGGGGCCATCAGCCGAGATGTCAACTCATCAAACTTTCCACGGGGATTTAGCAGAAGCCTCCTGAACAAGGAGGGGGAGGGGGGGCGCGGGAGGAGTAGGTGTGAGTGTGGGGAATAAAACAAACCACAACGCGACGGAGCACAAGCTGTTAAGATTTCAGCAACAACAACAAGAAAAAAATCGCTGGCGAAAAAAAAAATCCTGAATAATAATAATGAACCGGATTCCATCTCCGAAGGCGCAGACGGCACACGGGGACGCCGATCGCCCGCGTGGACTCGCCCGCACGTGCGGAGGAGGAGACGGGCACTCCGTGCAGCCAACGTGCATCGCCATCTGTCCCACCACTCGGTCTGCCGCGTGCCAGCAGAGCGACACCGTGCTCACGGTATTTCGTGCCGCTGGGTTGTTTTTTTTTCTTCCACACCCGCCCACATCGTCGTGTCCCAGACATGCTCATCACTGTTGTTGGGAGATCGGATGTGGAGGGGTTTTTTTAATCCTTTATATTAAGTTCATTTGCTTGCTTGCTTGCGTGCTTACGACCGTGCAAAACTTTCGGTCGTTTTTTAACCCACTTTCCGTGATCCAATCGAGCTGACATTTTGCACACAGACTCGTTGTGTGTGACAATTTATTTTCGTGAAAATTTTTTCTCAAAATTTTCCACTTTTTAGGAAAAAAAATTTTCATATTTAATTTAAAATACCAATGTGATAAAAATGAAACTTACTCAAAAAAACAGAAATGAATAATAAAATAAAACCGATGCCACGCATATAAAGGATTTATAGTGAAAAACTTTGTTTTTACGGGTTAATTTTTTTTCTTCTTCTTGTTTAAGTCCCTGGTGCAAATCGCTTGAGAGGGAGGTTTGATCCCAAAGCCTTTTGGATAAATAACAACAGCAAAAACACAACACGTTTGTCAATAACATGAAACGTATATAAAAGGTTACGTCAAATGTGTAAATGACGATTTAAAAAACAACCCATCAAAACAAAGAAATCGTGCTGCACAAACTTCCCCAGGACATGCTCATGATTTGTGCACGCGCACACATGTCATTGTGCTTTTTACATATATTTGTGTCTTCGTTGATAAATAGGTGACGTTTCGGACAGTGGTAAATTTTCAGAGCATATGTGCTATAAAGCACATATTCAGTGTGTATACTTTTACTTTTAAGGAGTGTTAATTATGAATGTGTTGAGTTTTTTTGAATTTGCAATTGTGCACCACTGCCAACGCATAATCACAAAATCATTTGTTTTATGGAGGCTTCACTGTTTGTTTTTTTAACGTGTTTTACAATGGTAATTTAGAATTTTAGGCGAGCTCTGTCCACCGAGTGAAACCAACCAAACAACCAGACTCTGGGCCATCGTTTTTTGGGGCCTAAATACAAAAAAATGGGCCTCTGGATATTTTTCTCGAAAAGTAAGCTTTACAGTAATCACCATACGTATAATTTGCAATCACTTTGTCAATCCACGTCTGCCTGAAGGCTTTCTCACACTCCATTGGTCGCGGGGAAGGTAAGGGCTTTAAGGGATGGCAGAATAGTGGCTCACCAAAATCAGCTGCGTGACACCAAGTGTTGCTTGTAACATTAGCAGTATAGCCAGTGACCTATATACACTCGTGTGCAATAACTACAAGAGGTTATAAATGTATTCAAAATGTAAAGTATATTAAATCGTTCAGTTATTACCCTGATGCCAAAAAAGTTATTTCAGTAGCAAAGTAAATGATGCACACTAAAATCAATTACTCAAACATTTATTTAATAATAATCATAACAACGATCATAATTCATCACACTGGTCAGTGTGGTTTGGTAGATATGAGATACCCAAGACTGGTTCGGATATCACTGGCCATCGATGTCAGCCTGGGCCAGAAATCAAGCTCGGGTGATTAGCTTCAATGGGCAGTTCTCGAACCACAATGTGTATTTTCACAAACAGATTGCATAACATGTACAGCTATGAGCGTACAAAATAATGTTTATAATAATTACTGGCAACTCTGCTGCCTCATTACGACTAAAGCCATGGCAACGTTCCCAATCTCTGTCCTTCACTTTAACACGTGGTAGGCGTTCGCGAACAATATCATCCATAAAACAAGTTTTTTTTGGAACCTCCTTTGCCAGTAGCAAAATATGATAATCGTTATAAATCAATACCAGATAAGACAAAAACGATGATCTGGGAGTGATCTAGCTATTTGTTAAAAACTCCCTTGTCTATTAGGTATCCTCATGCCAAATACACGGGGACATCAAGGTTTGGCTTGTAGTTGTTAATCTACTGGTCCTGCAACAAAAATAAAATGAGACACTGAAAAGCACACATACATAATACATGCATGCTGGACAAATATAGCAAGCAGTTTTGCAACTGGCTGAATTAACAACCAGTAACATTATAGATGCATGCTCTATAAATAAGACAACACATAAATTCACAAATTCAATAAATATCTCACAGTATATCTTTCATATGAATACATTTATATAGCTACACTGTGCATTGGTACATAAAAAATGCATCACAAGTATATATACACATGTATGAAATATATGAAGTACATACACATGTACATAGAATCATAATGTGTTTATATATTTACGCTTTCACAAATAAGCTGATAAGTTCCATGATTGTCCTTACATGTTGCTGGGCAGCTGCTTTTAGCAAACGTAGAGAACTCCTCTTATCTACGGATGCTATTAATCCACAAGAGCTGAAGGGTTTTGACAAAACCCCCTCTTCTCTGCCGCTCTATTTTTACTATTGTATGCAATTTTCTGAGGGGTTTCCAATCTTTGTCTGTGGGTCAGCTTCCTATTATCTAAAAAATGGATCACAAATAATAGGAGTCGCGCAGAAAATTCATCCTATTTTTTGTGATTGTCCGTGACTTGTTTCCCGTGGTTGAGTGACGTAAAATTGCAGATTACCCCACGGATAATAGGATGTATAACATTGGTCCCTCCACATCATCACGGACCAGATTCATGCTCCTATATAGCATTGTAAACCCAGTGCTATTGTTGACACATTGAATGGCAAATACTTTCTTTAGAACTAATTTTGTGTTTAGTTTATTTCCCCCTCCGACACCTCTGATTAGCACGGTTAGTTACGTACGGTGCAAAATAAGTTAAACATCCGTATATCGCCTTGAGGCATTTTATGATTTCTAGGTCAGTTAGGAGAGGCACAGACCAAGTTGAGATACCGATTGGCAACAGGTTGCATGGCCATTAATTGAAACCACGTCACCGGGAGAAAATGGCGAATCGTTGTAGTGATTTTGATAATGGCGACGATAATAGGCAGGACAAAGACATGGACAGGACCTGTTGCAGCAACGGAGATGGAGGCCAGTGGCAGAGTGGCATCCAAAGGGGTTGACACGCCTGTATACCTGTCAACTCATACGGTTTACCCGTATTCTTGTACGGGAAATTGAGTTTTCAGGTCCATACGGCGGACAGCCGTTTGAATATGGGCAACTAATTTTTTGTTGGTGCATTTGTTTGTGTTTCTCCCTTGCGATGTGACTTTGTATGCTGAACTTTGAGGTTTATAAGGGCGCGGGGTGACCAATAAGGTCTTAATTGGTCTGTAATAAGGTAGGGCACTGATAAGGGGTTGACAGGTATGCACCTGAGAAGACGTCCACTGGAGAGAGATGAAAGCGGATAGATGGACTATCGTTATGGAGGGCGATGGCCTGGGGAGCCCTTAATCCTGTAGTGAATACAATCATGGCTGGTGAATACAAATGACGATGACTTGACGACGACAATAACGACGATGGCAATGAAGTGGCCAATGGACGTGACAAGTAAGTGCACAACGACGATACAATCTGAACAGTCGACAGAAAAGGGTCGAGAGATCCACAAGAAAGAACGGTGACCCCCCCCCCCCCCCCCCCCCCCCGCTGAAAATGACCCAAAAAGTTTGTCTCTCCCCCGCTCCCTCCCCGTATAAAGGAGCTGTCGGTGATGGAGGACGGCGACTGGGCCTTGGCTCGCGGCGGCCACGAGGAGCTGCGGCTGCGCGAGCTGGAGGAGGCGCGCACGCGGGCGCTGCAGCTGGAGAAGACCATGCGCTGGTGGTCAGACTGCACGGCGAGCTGGCGCGAGAAGTGGGCCAAGGTGCGCGCCGAGCGCAACCGCGCGCGCGAGGAGGCGCGCGCGCTGCGCGAGCGGCTCGAGGGGGCGACGGCCGAGCTGGCGGAGGCGCGGCGCGAGAGGCGCGGGGTGAGCGCCGACAGCGCCCGGACCCTCCGAGCCGAGACGGAACGACGGGGTGCGGGCGAGGAGGGTGACGAGGAGGACGCGCGTGACAGGAAAGATGTCGACGATGAGGATGACGAAGAAGGGGAACGGCAACAGGAAGATCTGAATGCCGACGACGATGATGATCGTGAGGCGGGTGATGCTGAGAGAGAGCCCGGAGACGTTAACAGAGCTGGCAAGGAGGTGGAGAGGATGAGCAGCCCGGAGCAGGAGCCTGTTCGAGACACGGAGCCAGGCAAACGCCCGGTGGCGCTACCCAGCAGCAAGGCAAGTGGCCGTCGGCCAAACTACACGCATCGTTATCGCAGGCGATGAACACGCGCGTACTTCACCGAGCGGAAAGTGAGGCGTTTAAAGGTTTTTATCACAAGATGTACGTCAAGTCAAAGTGTTTCCCCCTCTAGTCAAATGAGCATCGGGAGGTTCTTCTCCAATGGCAGGCGCCAGTCACCAATCGGACCGTTCCCACCGACTTCTAGTTTTATTGCTCACAGATTATGGGCCGAGTTATCTTCGGCCAGAATTCTAACTTCGTCGTTGAATGTGTACGTTATCATCTCGTGTATATCACGAACACAGAAAACTCCACCATTATCCGCCCAATTCCGAAGGCCGCGTCACTTTGGGGCCATTCTCATCCACTCCTTGGCAGCTTCAATCCACCCAACTCCCACTTTTACAGTACTTTGATCCGAACAAGGCACTTGCGATACCTCCACGTCAGTATAGCCTTCAACTGCTGAATGTTCTTCAATTAGTTGCTCTTCCATTACCAATATAGTTCCATTTCTTAGAAAATGTCCAGTAGCCAAGTTTATCTTCTCGGTTTTTTTGCCCATCAGAGTTTCTCATCCCATCATCTTCAGCAGTCGTGATCAATCCACTGCTGAATGAAATCTCCCCGTAACCGACACAATCTCTCACAGTTCCGCCTCATCAATACCCAATGGGCCTCCATGCACGAGCTTCTTTTTAAATCCTTTATATTAAGTTCACTTGCTTGCTTGCTTGCGCGCTCACGACAGTGCAAATCTTTTGGTCGTTTTTTAACCCACTTCCCGTAATCCAATCGAGCTGACATTTTGCACACAGACTCGTTGTGCGTGACAATTTCTTTTCGTGAAATTTTTTTTCCAAAATTTTACACTTTTTAGGTAATTTTTTTTTATATTTAATTACCAATTGCTTAATGGTGGCAGGCAATCATCTGGCCCATCTCAAGCCAGAGGACGAGAGGACTCTAGCCGCCCGTTTCAAAGACCAATGTGGGCTGGGTTGTGGCCCATTGAACACGCATATGAAGGATTTATAGTGAAAAACTTTGTTTTTACGGGTTATTTTTTTCTTTTCATCACTCCATCCTATCAGTCGATGTGCTCCAGCCGGGCACAAGTTCCGTTTCTTGGCTGCCACTCCCGTCGCCATCGTTGACTATTGGCCGTCATCCCTCCACGCAACGGCGCGTTTATATTCACGTCTTCTACAAGCGTAGAGAAAAGTCACCAATTATAAGCCGAGGCAAACATCTGTTGAACAATGCCTCTATCGGAGCATGGCACCTGTGCGGGGGCTGTTTTTAGTCTTTTTTTTCTAACTGCCAATATGCCACCAGCGCCAATTAAAGAACAGCACTTTTTTGACTTTCAACCACAACACCTGCCAATAGCCCAGTCCAGCCCAACCCAGGGACAGCCCCAACCCAGAGCAGCGCCACAGATCCCCGTTTAGCCTACTGCTGTTTGCGAGCGAGCACCTATGAAGGCTGCCACCACACACACAAGGCGTGTTATGGGCAGAACCACGCACAGCCAAATTGCGTGACCAAGGATTGATGGTTATGCACTCCGCAAAGTAATTATTTGTCAACATCAGGGATGTTTATGATAGGTACAGATATAGCTTACCAACAGAGGCGGTTTCTTCATTAGGGCGATTGGGCGACGCACCACCAATGTCATTCAACCACAGAGTCACGCTAGCCGTCACTGTGCCTCTGGATATAGTCCAATCAGCGTTATGTCACGTTCTGTGGAGTACCGCCTCTTTTTGGGCGATTTCATTCCGGTTGAGAATCGCCCCGCGTGGCCCCATAGACTTACATTCAAAGATGTTTTTTTTCGACCGGGGGGCGCTGCAATGCATTCTCTATGGCTTCCGGGAGGGCTCGCCCTAACGTGCTTACGTCATCATACGTAAGCACGTTTCATCCAACAATATTATTTGTCGCCACCTAGTGGAATCATCTTCTTGTTTCTTTCGGTAAAGTCACGTAGAAGGGAAGTAATAAAATAATAAAAATAAAACATAATAAAACAATTCTCACGACGTTTCGGCTACAACGCAAGCAGCCGTCTTCAGGTGAAGAATGAGACACTACCAAACTAGGAGCTTATATATAAGCTGCATTGGGGGTTGAAGAGCGCCTTAACAAAAAGAATGTGCATGTGAAGAGGAATTTAGCATATTCATGGAAAATGCGTAAGCGTTGGGCGGGGGGGTGTCAAAGTCATATTATGCCCATGCATTATGCAGGATCAGCAGCAACCAAGGGGGGTGCAGGGATTAGCAGTAACAAAGGAAAGGAATGTTAATGATATGTAGCTGCAGTTACTCAACAACCACGTAGAAAACTAAAGTATAAACTACATAAAAAACTAAAGTATAAACTGCATCGCACCATCAGTATACTTACTATACTCTATAATAAGCTGAGTTACTAACAGCAAGTAATACATTACAATTCTACCTCGTAAAAATTCTATAATATGCTTCCATCTAAACCTTATTCTCTTATATCACACGAGCATATACCGTACTATATACTGCCATAGATAAACCCAACATTAAATTATATACTGTATTGCTGTAAACCAACCTATATCTTATACATTTAATATAACACTATGTATTATTCTACACACCCTAATGTGTATCGAAATGGTTTATTACGTCCTTCCAATGATTGCTGAGCCAGAATCCATCTTCTCGGTTAAAATTGTCTCTGTGTTTGTATATGTGGATCGCCTCATGAACGAATCTCTCATGATAGCCAGATGGCTTGCAGAGAACCTCTGTCTTGGAGAAGTCGATATCATGTGAGCCCACTGAGTTGTAACAGTGATCTGCCACGGCTGAGGTGTTTGTCCTACCGTGTTTCAGGTCAGCTTTATGTTCACGGATGCGGTCCGAGACATGTCGTTTGGTTTCCCCAATGTAACTGCTACCACAGAGGCAACTTAGTTTGTAGACGCCAGGGTACTGTATGTCTGGAACCACATCTTTTACAGACGGTACCAGATCACGGATTTTATGTACTGTGTTGAATCGGACCTGGATCTTGTGTTTAATCAGGATTTTGGAGATCTTTTTTGTGACCCCAGCAATGTAGGGTAAGGTGATGGTCTTGAAAGGCTCCTCAACAGGATCCTTCTTGATGGTTGGAGTGATGGCTTTGCGGATTGTATAGTCGGAGTAACCATTTGCCTTAAGAGCTTGGCGTACGTGTTTGAGTTCACTGGAAATGTGTTCATGGTCGGAGATGCATTGGGCTCTATGATATAGAGTCTTGATGAGGGAATTCTTCTGGGATGGATGGTGGTGGGAATCCGGTTTTAGATAAGCATCCGTGTGGGTGGCTTTCCTGTAGACAGAGTGGCTCATTGAACCATCAGGTCTCCTTTTGATTAGGACACTTTTGTCATCTGGCCACATGGCCGGCCTGCTCTAGACCAATTTCTCGACCACATCAATTCCATACACCCAGCCATCAGATTCACCATGGAAGTCGAAAATGATGGCAAGCTACCCTTTTTGGATGTCCTAATCAAAAGGAGACCTGATGGTTCAATGAGCCACTCTGTCTACAGGAAAGCCACCCACACGGATGCTTATCTAAAACCGGATTCCCACCACCATCCATCCCAGAAGAATTCCCTCATCAAGACTCTATATCATAGAGCCCAATGCATCTCCGACCATGAACACATTTCCAGTGAACTCAAACACGTACGCCAAGCTCTTAAGGCAAATGGTTACTCCGACTATACAATCCGCAAAGCCATCACTCCAACCATCAAGAAGGATCCTGTTGAGGAGCCTTTCAAGACCATCACCTTACCCTACATTGCTGGGGTCACAAAAAAGATCTCCAAAATCCTGATTAAACACAAGATCCAGGTCCGATTCAACACAGTACATAAAATCCGTGATCTGGTACCGTCTGTAAAAGATGTGGTTCCAGACATACAGTACCCTGGCGTCTACAAACTAAGTTGCCTCTGTGGTAGCAGTTACATTGGGGAAACCAAACGACATGTCTCGGACCGCATCCGTGAACATAAAGCTGACCTGAAACACGGTAGGACAAACACCTCAGCCGTGGCAGATCACTGTTACAACTCAGTGGGCTCACATGATATCGACTTCTCCAAGACAGAGGTTCTCTGCAAGCCATCTGGCTATCATGAGAGATTCGTTCATGAGGCGATCCACATATACAAACACAGAGACAATTTTAACCGAGAAGATGGATTCTGGCTCAGCAATCATTGGAAGGACGTAATAAACCATTTCGATACACATTAGGGTGTGTAGAATAATACATAGTGTTATATTAAATGTATAAGATATAGGTTGGTTTACAGCAATACAGTATATAATTTAATGTTGGGTTTATCTATGGCAGTATATAGTACGGTATATGCTCGTGTGATATAAGAGAATAAGGTTTAGATGGAAGCATATTATAGAATTTTTACGAGGTAGAATTGTAATGTATTACTTGCTGTTAGTAACTCAGCTTATTATAGAGTATAGTAAGTATACTGATGGTGCGATGCAGTTTATACTTTAGTTTTTTATGTAGTTTATACTTTAGTTTTCTACGTGGTTGTTGAGTAACTGCAGCTACATATCATTAACATTCCTTTCCTTTGTTACTGCTAATCCCTGCACCCCCCTTGGTTGCTGCTGATCCTGCATAATGCATGGGCATAATATGACTTTGACACCCCCCCGCCCAACGCTTACGCATTTTCCATGAATATGCTAAATTCCTCTTCACATGCACATTCTTTTTGTTAAGGCGCTCTTCAACCCCCAATGCAGCTTATATATAAGCTCCTAGTTTGGTAGTGTCTCATTCTTCACCTGAAGACGGCTGCTTGCGTTGTAGCCGAAACGTCGTGAGAATTGTTTTATTATGTTTTATTTTTATTATTTTATTACTTCCCTTCTACGTGACTTTACCGAAAGAAACAAGAAGATGAATCCCTGCAGTCACGAAAGCTTTAAATCGAAACCTAGTGGAATCTTTAATTAAAGAAACTTGAGTGGATTGTATTAATAGTGAGTATAGAAACAAACAAGATGTATTGTAAGAGTCACTTTATTTTTCATTAATATTAAAGAAGTGAAGTTGCCTTTACATGCTTAAGCTGTTAATTTATCCATTGCATGGGTGGACCTTATCCTTATCAATCATCCAGACATTTCCCCCCCCCTGAGAGATTTTGCAGGAGCCGCCACTGCTTACCAATGATTGTATATATAGTTCGGAATCAAAAGGTGTGTTTTTGTTTGCAGTGCAGTGCGCCACCAACCATTGCACCACTACTTCCCACCACGCAAGCACACACCACACATACAGACACCAAATTCTAATATCCATATAGCCTACATAGACTTTGGGGAAAGTTATATTTGCGAGCGCCAACGAAGGAAGGGACATGGACATTAGGAGGCTGTTTGTCCAGCACCACACCCAGCTGCCTTTTTCTCCCCAATGCTGATGTTTCAAGGTAACACCGAGTACTACTCATTTGTGGCTGAGTCAACCTCGGAGATGTCCGGGGCCAGTCCATATCTGAACCGATACTGATGTTCGCCTTGGCTGGCAAGTGAACTTAGGTCACCGAGTTTGCAGTGCGCTGATCACTCCACTACCACTCCACACAAAGCCAAAGATCCCCCATATAGCCTTGAACAGACTGTTGGGGCGAGTTCTGTTAGCGAGTAGCACCCGTGAAGGCCGGCACGTCTCCCTAGTGGCGATGCTTGCACACTGCACCAGGTACCCATTTGAGGCTGAGTCGACCTAGAGGGGAGTCCCAGGACCGGTTCAGATAATCGTCGCCGATATTGGCCGTGAGCGTGAATCGAACACGAGCCGCCGGCTTCGTTGCGCAGCGGCCGCGCTAACCGCTACGCCACGGCGCCGTAACTTCCACAAAGTCACCACAAAGCCACAGAGGCACCGCGCGACCATTGCCCGAGGCCACCTCGGCCCAGTGACGCCGGTCCGCTTCCAAAATGCGCGCAGGACACGATGCTCATCGAGGAGGCTCCGGGAGGAGGTGGCGGCGGCGGCGGTACGGGGAGCCCGGCGGAGCCGCGGGAGAAGCGGCGCGACGCGGGGAACTACCGGCGTCGCGCCGGGCCGGCGGGGCGCTGCCAGGAGGCGGCGGTGGCCTCGGCCGTGGAGGAGGAGCTGGCCAGGGCCACGGTGCTGCGGCTGCGCCTCGACGAGTCCCTGAAGACGCTGCTCAAGGAGCGCGAGTGAGTGTCGGGGACAAAAACAATCCCCAAACGCAAGGGCGAATGCATTAGTGCTGTGTTCATGTAACCCATCACCACCCCCCGCCCCCCATTTTACCACTAAGGTGGAAAGCATTGAGGCATGAGCTCTGTCTGCCTGCCTGTCCACGCGTCTGTCTGTCTGTCTGTAACATGGGGGTCACTTTCGTAGAGATGTACTGTAAAGTACATTTTTAGCGGAGAGTCATGTGGCAAATAGGGACTCAGCCTCCATAACATTATACAAATTCATCAACAGGTTGCCATCCACATCTGTAAGGTCACAATTATGTGTCATAATTAATCAGTGTTTTTTACGTATATAATTAACTCATATGCCGAACGGAGGATCACGTGGATTCATATGATCCATGTCGTACCACGAGATGTCGCCATATTTAATGTACAGAGTGGTCCAGACATCTCGTGACCCCAGATCAATTGACCCTCAAACATGGTTTTTCCCCTTTGCATATTCATTTATGTTTTAAATCAACTTCACTTGAAAAATGTTACGTTTCCAGATAATTAGATGGATGTTACAAGACATCGGGACCGTGTACGGTGGTGATACTCTTGACATGACTCATGACCGTGCAGCAACGTGTGAAATCCCTTTGAGACTCAAGGTGTATTTTCAGGGGAGATATAGGTTGAAAAACAAGAACAGAAAAAAAAACCCATCATAACGTACAAGGGATAAACAATATACATGTGGAATGAAAAGTGAAGAAGCATAAATACAAATGTCTTCATACAGATTTTGGCAAGAGTAAGATCTAAAAATACTGCCTAACAATGAGAAACTCTACAATATGAAGCCATTCAAAGCATATTTCAGAAACAAGTACGTTAATACTTTCCGAGTAAGACATCTAATTGCTTATCGAGAATAAACTGGCATGGTATAGATTATAAACTGCGATGTACATGCTCCAATATATTGTCGATCCTTGAGAAACATCAGACGTGAAGATGAGTTCCCAAATTAAGTATTGATTTTTGGAACGTGGCATTTAAGACAAATTTGAAGTACGTCTCTGTTGGCCAAGCAACCACTGCTGTATGTTGTGGTGACACGGAGCCTCTGAGCCAGACACGAAGCAATGTGGGGGGTGGGCTGATCACCCAGAGGACGCAGCCGTCGACGCGTGTGGCACCGGTTACAGCACCGCCACGTTCATTTACGTGTCGGCACAGCAGGCTGGGACACTGCAGTTTATGTGATGCTTCGCTCGCCGGACAATGCAAGAGGTCGTAGTTTGATCTCCCGGCGCGGCGGTTGAAACACTGGGCAAGTTGATTACATTTCCTACCCCCCCCCCCCCCCCATGTCCACCCGACAGTAATAAATGGGTAAAGTGTGATGACTCTAACCTCTTTGGAGATCTTCTTGGTTCTTTCGATAAAGTCACGTAGAAGGGAAGTAATAACCTGAGGATGGCTGCTTGCGTTGTGGCCGAAACGTCGTGAGAATTATTTTATTATGTTTTATTTTTATTATTTTATTACTTTCCTTCTACGTGACTTTACCGAAAGAACCAAGAAGATGAATCCCTGCAGTCACGAAAGAAGCTTTAAATCGAAACTCTTTGGAGATGTCTTGGCCAGCGTGTAGGAGTGCTCCAGAGCTCATTCAAGCAGAGGCCCTTCCACCACCAGTGGTGACAGCAAGCATTTACAGGGCTCCGCCTTTACCCGTGGCCTTGCGGGCACATTCAGTTTGTCTTATTTATCCGTGCAGTCAGGTTTCCTGCCTTCTGCAAGCGTGCCAAAATGAATGTAATACTCCAAATATTCCAAGTGTTATCTGACTGTAAAGCACCTTCTTGAGACTCACAGAAGCTTTCCTTAGATAATCGTAATATAAAATAGTCTTAAAGACACCGTAATATAAAAACGCTTTCCATCTGCAGCAATCGTACACTTGAGAACGCAGCCGATGGCTTCGTGCGAGAGACGTTTAATGCGCAACCAATAAGAGGGGTGGTCTTTCCTCTGTGCCGCCTTGCAGAGACAAGTCTGAGCTCACGAAGACGATAGAAAAGTTGGAGGCCGAGGTGTTGCAGTGGAGGCTCAAAAACGAGGAGCTCAACAAGTCCAAACAGGAGGCTCTCAAGCAGGTAAGGTCCAGATGTCCAACCTGGTTGTAAACGAACACGTCGGCTTTCGTGACCAATATCATCCATAATACAGGTTTTTGGGTTAGATCGCGTAAATATCGTAAATATGTGTCGTTAAACCCGCCACCATCCGACGCAGCCAATTGGTAAGGGTTGTCACGTAAACAGAACATGCCAATTCCGTACTAGTACAGCAGACCGGTGTGTTGTAGAGCCAAGCCACAATTGTAAATGTTGTAAATATTGTGGCTTGGCTCTCCAACACACCGGTGTGCTGTACTAGTGACGAATTGGCCACGTTCTGTTTACGTTGGCTGTGTCGGGTGGTGGTGGGTTTAACGACACATCAATATATTTGTAGGACTCGTACTGACGCGACAGCTTCTTTGTCTTTCTCGGTTATTTATTAACGCGTATAGTTCACATCTCCTCCGTCGGCATCACACAATGTCCCTCCGTACTCTTCAACTCACAACTCCCCATCAACATCACTCCATGTCCCTCCGTTCGCTCGCTCCGCTGGCTTCGCTCGCTCTCCCTCTGCTCCTCTCCTCCAGCGACCTCCCTCTCTGCTCTCTCTCTCCAGCTCGGTCGCTCTTCGTTCTCTCTGCCGTCCCACTCCGTAGTAGCTTTCTCCACCAAGGTCCGTTACCCTGCTGCTATCCTATACTGTACTCGCTCCGTCCACTGCTACACTATCTGTATTCTCTTTATCCACTGCTACCATACTATATATTATCTTTGTTCACTGCTACCTTGTACTATACTCTCTTGTCCACTGCTACCGTATATTATACTCTCTTGTCCACTGCTACTGTATACTATACTCTCTTGTCCACTGCTACGTTATACTATACTCTCTTGTCTGCTGCTCCGTCTCTCCATCTGTTCGTCTCTCGTCCCAGGCACCAACCAACTCCCGTTTTTCCCCACGCTCTTTGCCTTTATCCCCGAACCAATTCCCCTTAATTAATTGGACCATCCTCTACTTCGCTACTCGCCCCCAGCCCCCAGCCTCACGTGGTGTTGTTGTTGTATCACAACATTCGTATCACGTTGGGTCAGCAAATGTCTCCATTGTTGGCAGATTGTGCCATGCAGATATTACTCATGCGCAATGGTCAAAGTCAGCCGGTGTCTACACTCGTGTTCCATACTGGCACTTCTCAGAGCACCATACCAAGGTTTCTCTGCCCCACTGGCGGAGCCAGTGGGGGGGGGGTGGGGTGGCACGTGCCCCCCCCCCCCCCAATGATCCGATCAAAATCCTTAATTGCGATCGGATCATTGGGGTTTATTAGTAATAAATCGGCATGTTGCTACCCTCACTGCCACTGTGTAGCATATTATTATGTGCCAGGGACTCTATAAGATGATAGGACAATAGTCTGAGTCCATAATTGGCAAAAAGTAATGGCAAAGCAGTTATAAGTGACTCACAGAATTGTGCGCAGTTGCGTATACAATCCACGACTTCCCTGAAGGCATCAACACCTTCAGCGAGCGCGATGCCGATCACACAACACGGTTCAAATTGGACCCTCGATCGATGGCTGTGCCATCGCCGCACACGCGTCGAATGAAAAGCAAGGGGCAAGTCCTTACTTACTAACAACTCCTATCATTTTTTTTATTGCTGGAGGGGTTGCCCCCCCTACCTGAAAATCCTGGCTCCACCATTGCTGTTCCCACACCACGATGCTTCCGCAGAGGGTAAACATCATTTACCATGGACTGCCGGACGAATAGGTTTCATGCGGGGATTTTTGATCACTGCCTGTGCGGTAATGATGCTACGCAACGCTCCAATGTGTATCTGTCCAAAGTGCGGAAAACACTGTCCAGCCAGGGTTAGTCTCATGAGCCGCGTTCAAACCCATTACGCTTACTTTACATTGTTATGGACTCGCCCAGTGGTCATCATCGTTTTGATGAGACAGCAATTGATCATGTGACAACCTCATGCCATCCATCGATCACGTGACAACCTCGTGCCACCTCCTTCAACCTGATCTCACCGACTGGAGGGGTTCGTCGCAAGAGAGCAATCGCCTTCACCGTAATATATACATAGAGAAAAAAAACACGCATTTTTCTAAAATGTAATTCAAGGTAACCAGTTGTAACTTTGTTGACCCCGAAAAGGTTTTATGCACAATTCATTCCACATGTACTTTATGGGGTAAGGTGCTTAATTTTTAATTATAAACAAAACAAAATCAAATCACCAGTTTTATGAAAAACTCCCAGGCTGTGTTTTGTTGCTCCTCTGTCCTTGTTTTATTACCAGTCATAAATTCAGACGCACAAATAAAATGGACCAATTGCCATTTACCATACCGTCATAATTTAAACACTAATACGGCCCGCATTATGAATGCATGCGGTTATCTGCATTGTTTGCACGCCTTGAATTTTAAATCTTCGATTGTCCCCTCGTTCAACTGTATACCGCGTGCGTATATCATACATTCTAAACACCCGCCTGCCAATGTATAATATTAACGGTGGCTTGAAAAGCCATCATGAGCACTTCAACTTGTGAGTCAGTACGACTGTTTAGGTTTTACAGGTTGCGTCATATAGCTCTCTGGCGTGCGTCTGGGTTGCATCGCATGGAGTTGTTGGGCACGATGTCTGACGTTTTGCTCCATGTGCTGAATAAGCTCTCGGCACGTGATTTCAGTTCCTGAAGGAGCTCCCAATGCATAGAGCGAAACGTCGTCGGACATCCTGCCGAACAACCTGGTGGTAGTCCGAAAACACATTGGGCAGCTTGTAAGTCAGGAATTTATTAATCTCCGCCAATATTCATTAAAATAATAATTTGCCTTGTTTTTTTGTTCAGTTTGTTAACCTAAATATCGCAGCACATACATTTGCGTGAATTGTAAATAACCAATTTCACACGTAGTAGGCTTTCGAGACCAAGCATAGACAAATATTTTTTTTGGTCAGATCGCGTCAATAAAATGTGTGTCGTACACCGTCCTCCATCCGACACAGCCAATTGATGAAGCTGTCATGTGAACCAACGTGCCAATCGATTACTGCTTCAGTATATCGGTGTGATAAAGAGCATCATCAGACAGTCGCAAGCATTGTAGCAACTGCCTGATGATGCCGGTTGCAACCACCAATGAAACGTCGTAGCCAATTGTCAAATGTGTGTTGATTGCTCTCCAGCACACCGGCGGTGCTGAAGCAGAAATAAATGGGCACGTTTGATCACTTGACCGCTTTATTCATAAATAGCTGTGTCTGGTAGAGGAGGGTGTACAACACACATTTTACTCGAGCAATCTGACCCAAAATCCAATTATGGTTTGTAAATAATCTATTGTTAGCTGCACGAGTCCATGAATGCATAGTTAGTCTCAAAATCCAAAATTGTATTGATTCATAGCGATATGCCTAATGTATATTAACAGGTGTAGAAATGTATTAAGGTATTCAAAAGTTCCCCGAAACTAAATCTGTTGTAAATATTTTAAAATGTCTAAATATTTCAAAATGCAAATACATGTTGAATAATAGGTAACTGCAAATGATGCAGTTAAACAAGTGTAATTCCTGATACAAACACTAACATCTATACCACTTAATCATAACTTCACTGATGAATTAAGTCCTCACCACACCATATTTGCCATGGGGACAAATTGACCATACTTCACCACTCTAGTTAGTGTGGGTCGCTGATGTCAACGGGCAGATTTGTTCAGATATCACTCGTAATTGATATTAGCAATGACCGGGAATTGACCTCAGCTGGCCAGGTTCCTAGCACAACATCTGGTTTCAAACTAAGCTCCCAAAGCAATGAGTAATGCAAATGATCACGTCTCAGTCTTTAAACTTTTTTTAATCTCCGCTGTCATAAATCACCGCTATTCCTCAATCTGAAAAGCAAATTCAGTGTGCCTCACATGAACGGCAGTTACCAACACGTGACTGCATTGCATGGCGTTTTAATGCCATACACTGGGTTTGTTTTTGCGATTACCATTGTCTGGTCGGGACCGATTTACGATCTCAACGGCATGATTCTAAAAGGTGATGATCACTGCCAGGGCTTATTTTCTGCCCTCGGAATTTTCCGCAACGCCGCCGTAGAGTAGGGATTATCGCCACAAGGCACTACCACTCAAGCACAAGGGTAAGCCTGTACATAATAACCATGTATTATTGTACCCGAAATTCCTATAATCCTGTGAACAGATTTATCAAAATATCGGGTGCAATGAGGACCAAATGAGGCGCGAGGTTGGACGGATGTGGGATGCCAAAATCATTCCCGGAACAGCGTTCCGGCTAACATTAAGCTCCGATCACAGCGGTGCGGGAGGAGCGGTTTTGGAGCCGAGAAACCTTCAATTTTTGTTTCCCATCCCTTCTCCTGGCCATGCCGATGCCGCTGTGTGTTCGCGTCGATCAGCTGGCACTGCTGAGAGAGGCCCATGAGGCGGAGCTGGGTAGGATGACAGAGGATCTTGAGGATCAGGTCGGCGCCCACTCCTCCATGGACAAGAAACTCTCAGATATGAGGGCTGAGGTGAGTCGTGGGATGGCACCCTAATGAGTCTACATAGGAACGGTAACCTTTTCCCCCATAGCTTAAACATGAGTTGCTTATTAAAAAAAAAACTCAAATGAAAGATTTATTTGACCGTTTTTGTTCAGCGTCTTGAGATATCTGTCGAATTTAAATGCGAAATGAAAGCTCTTTGTTGACCTCAGAAGTAACTCTGCAGTGTCCACTTCCGTAGGCCATTCTCTGATACGAAGGGATGCTTGCTGTCTTCTTGGTTCTTTCGGTAAAGTCACGTAGAATGGAAATAATAAAATAATAAAAATAAAACATAATAAAATAATTCTCACAACGTTTCGGCCACAACGCAAGCAGCCGTACTCAGGTGAAGAACAGGTCTGTCGAGAAGACAGTCTGAATGCTTACTGCTTTGCGAGCGTTCCGAACCAATACTGAATCTCATGATACCAACAATCTGGTAAAAAAAATTGGTTACGTAAAAACGAACTTGCATCACCCCCCCCCCCGCCCTCTGAACTTTAACCCTTAATCCCTAACCCCCTGACCCATAACCCTCCTGCCCCGCCACGCCTTGTGGGGACCAAAAGCTGGAGCGGCTGCAGGCGGAGAACGCGGCCGAGTGGGGCAAACGCGAGCGCCTCGACACGGAGAAGCTGGCGCTCGAGCGCGACAACAAGAAGCTGCGCCTGCAACTGGATGATCTCGAGGAGCAGCTGTCCAAGCGCAGCAAGCAGACGGCGAGCGCCAGCGACGCTGACTTGCGCTCAGTGCAGGCCCAGCTCTACGAGAAGAACAAGGTGCGACTGACTGACCGACCGACCGACCGACGGATGGCCCCTTGTTAGAGAGGGCCTTGCCTGCTTACGTATGTGTGTATGTTGAACTTATACAGGTAGGAACAATGTTCCACACTGCCCACCAGGGATTTTTTGTCTGTCTGTCTGTCGTGCATAAAAATATATATATAATATAAACAGCTCTTTGATTGGTGGAGACCTACTGCCTGGTACGGAGAGGGGAGGGGCCTAAGGGAGGAGGGTCAGGGGAGGGGCCTAAGGATATTGGGGGGGGTCAGGGGAGGAGCCTAAGGGAGGGGGGGTCAGCGAAGGGGCCTGAGGGAGGGGGGGGGGTAAGGGGGAGGAGCCGATAGTTAAGGGGGCTGGCTACCTGGCTGGCTGCCTGGCTACCTCAAGTCAAGTGATCTTTTATACAGGTAGGAACAGCAGGTTCCACACTGCCCACCAGGGATTATTTGTTCTATACAGGTAGGAACAACAGGTTCCACACTGCCCACCAGGGATTATTTGTCTATACAGGTAGGAACAACAGGTTCCACACTGCCCACCAGGGATTATTTGTCTGTCGTGCATATTTGTCTGTCGTGCACGAATGCGCTGTCCAACCAAGTTCCTACCTGCCCACTCCGAAGGAACGTGTTTCTTGGTTCTCTCCTCCCACCCAGCTTAAAATACGCTGCCAAGCTTAGCAGCGTTCATTAGGACGCTGTCTTTCTGACAGCTCTGTTCTTCACCTGCGGACGGCTGCTTGCGGTGTTGGCCGAAACGTCGTGAGAATTTTGTTATGTTTAATTTTTATTATTCTATTATTTCCCTTCTACGTGACTTTACCGAAAATATGAATCACTGCCGCCACGAAAGCTTTAAATCGAAATTTAAGTTGAACTTCTTTCACATCGTACGTAGCCAACAGTGCTAATCGGAGGTACGCGGTGGCAAGGACACCAAAATAAAAACTAAAGCAGTTCTAAAGAAATACATTTGCAATATATATTTAAAAGTTCGTAGCTCCAGTGGCTTCCGAATATCGGACACAAGAGCGCGATGCAGTGACCTTCTTTGTTTGATGGCTCGCCAAAATCCGCCGCGATGATGACCGGTGTTTGCGTGATGGTGTATGCTCCTTGCTTACAACAATGATCACGCGTTAATAATATGGTCATCCTCTCTTGAAACTGCCGTGGTGTGATGGTTAGCACCCTGGACTTGCAATGCAGCGGTCGCAAATTCTATTTCCAGGTGCAGCAGTTGAAACAATGAGTACGTTTTGATACAATTGATTGTGTTCACGCTTACAGTGACTTTCAGACCGCATTCCATTTTCTTCTCCCCCCTCCTCTTTTCCGAACATAGATGGACTCGTCCATCTGACCAACTGCCAAATCGCTGTCCGTGGTGCTGACGTTAGGAAAAAAACGCCACTTTTTTCAATTTTTTTGCTGTGGATTTCACACCTGATGACGATTGCTTGTGTTGCAGTCGAAATGTCGTGATAATTGTATTGTTATATATGTTTTATTATTTTATTATTTTCCTTCTACGTGACTTTACCGAAAGAACCAAGAATACAATGAGTACGTTTCTTTAATTCTTTGTCCAGCCAGCAGTGTAAATGGGTAACCGCACAATTATTCAAATGGAAGAGCACGTGGGGTGGCATGTGCTACTCCCACCTCTTCCAAGACTACTGGCCGTCCTGAAAGAGTAGGCCAAAATACACGAGATATCTCTCTAAAGGCCTTGGTGGCATGAGCAAGCACAATTGCAACGTTGCACTACCTTCACATTCTTAACTCAACGTTTACGTGTCTCCCACCAATATCAATATTCTTGTACAATCTCTGAACTCTGCTGATACTCATGAAAAGCCTCAATAACATTTCTAAAAACACTCTTCGTACACTGAGGCCAACATAGGCATTGTGATTTGCTTGCAAAATCCAATGATCCGTAAGCCGAGCCCTTTGATGTGTCATGGTTTTCCGGGTCGTGCACACACATCACACACACGGCCTCCAACGTGACTCACAAAAGAAAACCCCACGGGGCTCATGTCAGGTGAGCAATAGCGCCACGCAATTGTTCCGCATCGGCACTGTCCCGACACACAAATGTCTCTTGTAACCAATCACACACAAACACCAGACCGAGGTCACACGACTCACACGTAAAATTAGCGTGGTATCTGTAAATGGATCACCGTGTACGGACTCCCTCGATTCGCCCGCAGGAGATGAGGCTAGACCCCTTGCGGTGGAAGGTGAGCAATGCACGCGTTGCAAGCCAGTGGGGTGGTCCGAGATTGACGAGTGGCAGGCAGCGTGACACCAGCATGTGGGATGCACGATGTAAAAATGTCCAATGCGGATTTTCGTCGATGTCAATCAGTGGCCGTTGGCCACGATAACTGTAAGGAACTCTATGGGAACCTCATTTGCCAGTAAAAATATGATAATTGTTTTTTAACCCTTCTCTCTGGCAACAAAACTGACACCTTTTTATGCAAACATGACTCCTTGTAAAAAGGTGTCAGTTTTGTTGCCAGATAGAAGGGTAAAAAACCAATTATCATGTAAGGAACTCGCTTAATGCAGCCTCGTGACAACGTGCAATGCTCACAGAAATGTTTACCCGTAGGCGGGCAAATGGGGTGCTTCATCTTCATCGTCGATTCTAACTTTATTATCACGCTGCGTGAAAGTATGAAGTAAGTCCCAAAACGCCGACGGAAATGAAGGAGCACAAATTGAGCAGAGTGCTGTGCACGGGTAACACGTATGCACTTAAAATCACAAAAACATTGTGATGACTTTGCACACACCGAGGGGTTATTATAAACGAACACACAGAACATCACTGCATGCTTAAGATGTACAACTACTACTACGTGTAGTACAATGTTTGACAACAAAAAAAGGTGAATTCAAACATTATCTTAAGTTGTGATAAATTGTGGTGGGCCTGGACAAAGTCCACACATAACTCTCCAACTTCCACACAGAACGACCTACTGGAGATAGCCTTGTGCAGGCCTTCCATAGGACATCTCATTATTCTGTGGGTGGAAATCTCACACATGATTATCTCTGCAATCCACTCGCTCTCACCTCTCAAGCACCACAAACACATGCATCTCTGTGCTTACCATGTTTATTTATCCTCGTAGCTAAACGATATAAAACATTTTAAATGACTCTCATGTAGCTATGAATAATGGGCTAGTGTTCATATTGCTATCTTGCATAGTTGTAATAACAATCATTGCAATACCCGTGTTTAGCTATTTATGGAAAGCCTCAGTGAGTCTTGGGACTCATTTCAGGAAGATCCTGGAATGTTTATGTTTGGTCAATTTCATTTCGGAGTATTTAACATGTGGGAAGAAACTGGAAACGCATGCATATATGGGAGGTGACACAGATATATTCAATAATCCACGCAGTATTGTCATCTCGTGGCCACCTAGCAGGAAAAAAGAGATTATACTGCATTTTAATGGACCAATTTCCTTGTAAATACCGAATATGATTGATAATTAATATACACTCCAAGTCTCACATGAAAGAGATACTTTAAATATATATGTTAATGATTCCTGTCCCAGATTTAAAGGAGTGTAAATTATTGAGCATCCCACACTTTTTCGAGTTTTCTATCCTTACTGATGTATCCCACTGTTATCATGAAAAATACATTTTAAATATGTGCCGAAGAACTTTTCTGAACAGTTGTTAGAGTCACTTCAGTATTCATCAGACTTCCAAGTGCAACTACAGAATACATTAAACAAAGTAGTTTGCTGCTCAGCTGAGCAATGGGCAGCACACTCATCTCTTCCTGTTCGCGGTCCTGAGCCAGGCATTGACATCCCTCATTCCCTTGGCTGGAGTCTATTAAGAGAAGAGAACATCGACTGTTGACTTGTCAAAAACAAGTGGTGCTCATTTTTAAATCCTTTATATTAAGTTCGCTTGCTTGCTTGCGTGCTTGCTTGCTTGCTTGCGTGCTTGCTTGCTTGCTTACGACCGTGCAAATCTTTCGGTCGTTTTTTAACACACTTCCCGTGATCCAATCGAGCTGACATTTTCCACACAGACTCGTTGTGCGAGACAATTAATGTTCGTGAAAAAAAATTCCCAAAATTTTACACTGTTTAGGGAAAACAAATTAAATATTTAATTACCAATTGCTTAATACTGGCAGACAATCATCTGACCCATAGATGGCAGCCATCTCAAGCCAGAGGACGAGAGGACTCTAGCCGCCACGCATATAAAGGATTTATAGTGAAAAACTTTGCTTTTACGGGTTTACTTGTATCATCCCAGGAGGGTTGGAGGGATTGGAGGGAAGCTCTCCAACAGGTTTCAAACTCACAATCTTATAATTATTAGCCAATCTCTTTGTAGCTGTGCCCCCCCCCCCCCCCATGATCAGCCACGTAGACCACAGAGGACAAACAATACGATTCCGCATTAAAACAATATTCATTGACAGCAAATGTTCAACACGACGAAAGCCTCCTCCACACCGCATTGCCGTGGGGATTTCTTGACCGCACTCCACCACAATGGTCGGTGTGGGTGTGGTGAATGGGTGGTTTGCCCCTGCACCGGTTCAGATTATAGCTTGCCACTAACGTGACCAGGAATCGAACTCGGGTGGCTGTTTTTTTTTTCACAACTGCGTGAAGAAGAAATGCACCGGTGACTTCATAATCGGGCATGTTCCCATGCCGGCCATTGGCCTTGTGAAGCATTTTTTTAAATTGTCACCAGGAGGCAGCAGCTGCTCGCTGAATGGGCGGTGTGAGCCAACGCAAGAGCAGAATTAGGCTTCTGGGACATTTCCTCTGCATACAAATGAACGTGTGTGTATATAGCCCCTAGGTCGACTCAGCCTCAAATGAGTAACTGGTGCGATGTGTAAACATCGCCACTAGGGAGACAAAGGCGGCCGGGCGTGGTGTTGGCCACCCACCCCCTCGTGTGCTGTGCCCG